ATCAAATTCAAATTGATTCAAATTGATTTGATCAAATATTTGAGTTCAATTCAATTCAATTCAATTCAATTTGAAAATCAAATCAAATTCAAATTGCTTAAATATTTGATTCAATTCGATTTTGAGGAATCCTAGTTAATGTTATTTATATACTATTCAAGGTATTTTTAGGATCAAATGATCTATCTCCATCAACATATAATTCAACACAGTTTATAGCTATAGCAATATCTCTTAAAAGTTCTAGTAATGCCATTGGTAAACTATTTATTTAGGATAATTTTTTATCTGTAATCTTCCTAATTTACTTCTTAAGCTGTTCAACCATGTCTTCTAGCTTTAAAATATGAATATCTTAAGCAGTACTTGCATTACCTTTATGCCTTAAATCCTGTAATACTTTATGAAGACGCTGTTTAAGAGATTTTATCTCAGACTTAAGAGATGCTATCTCACTTTCGTGAGCTAATATTTTTGAATCCTAGTGAGATAATGTTTTATAACAGGTTTCTAGTTCCCTAAAAAGAGATTTTAGTTTTTTATCCTTAAGTTTTATTTTCAGCTATTTCATTATCCTATTCTTTACGTAATTCTGTATTAGTATCTAGGATTTCAATCTAAGCCTCTTTCTCAGTTACAGTCCTTCGGAATATTTGTCTAGCCATATTTTATCTGAGTAATTTTTTTCTAATACTATCTGAATGAATATGAAAAAAGATGTTGATTCCTATTATCTAGATAGATTAAGATGAAGTTTGAAAACTTGACGTATCTATTGCTTTGCAGAAGATTTATTACCGACCTTAAGGCTATCAGAAGACTGTGAAAAAATTGCATAAAGCTTCTCTAAAAGCTGGGTTTAATTTTACTTTAAATGAAGTACATAATTGGCTTGAAAGACAAGCTGTATATCAGGTTCATAAACTTTATCCTAGAAATATTTCAAGTGTATTTTTCATTAATGTTACTATACTTATAGAGGTTATTCAAGCTAAATTATGCTATATGCCTTATGATCAAATTGGAAATAAAATTTATTAATTGTGTAAATATTGCTACTCATACAAAATGGACCTATTCTTTAACTAAACATGATTCTGCTAGTATTGCTATAGGTCTTGAAAAACTTTTAACTCCCAAAAATATCCACTTATTTGGCCTAAAAAAGATCTTATGGTAGATGGGAGTGTTGAATTTCAGGGTGATGTTATTAGATTAATAAATAAATATGGTATCAATATTCTAATAGCTAATTCTAAAAAAAGTATGGATATTATTGAAAGGTTTAATAAGACATTACAAGAATGGTCATCTATTATTCAAGATGCTGTTGATATGAGATTACCTATATCAGAACATTATTGAGTTTGGATTAGAAACCTTTCAATTTTTCTCAATAATCTTGATAATTCTGTGACTTGTCTTCTAGGTATTTCTCCTGCTAATGCACGAAAACTGAAGCATTTTTATGCTAAACCTTCTAAGCCTTGAAATGGGCCTATGAAGTTTGATAAAAAGCGATTAATTTATAATGTTCTTATAAGATATTTACTTAAATCAAGTGAGTTAGAAGGTGAAAGAAGATATGCTGGAGATATGATTTGATCTCCTCAAGTCTACCATATCTGTAAATCTTTAGTGCAAAAAAATCAGCCAGTCTTATATTGGTTAGAAGATGATGAAGGTAATAGCCTAAAAAGATCTTTTGTAAGAGAAAGATTAATGGTTATTAAAGAAGCTCAGCTATCACCTTGATAGGTGCTTACATGATAAGAAAATCCTTAAGTGTTTTATCAGCTTATTTTTCTGTAATAAAATAATCCTTAGTTAACCTATAGTATAACCTATATAATTATATAATAGCATTAAGAATTTTTAAATCTTTATTATAATAAGATTTATAATTACTAATAACTTGCTTATATTTGTCTTCTGTTGGAAATAGTCTTCTCACATTTTCTAAGATACATGATTTGAAATCTTCTGTCTAGAACACACTTTTTATAATTTTGCATAAACATACTATCTTTTGGTCTTTCATAAAGAATCCCTGCCTTAAATACTTTGATTAAAGTATTTTCAACTTCTTGGAAAGTGGGTTTAACTTCTTAGATTTGCTTGTTTTCTATTAATTGAATTTGTATACTCATTGTAAAAGTATATATTGTTACCCAAAAAATAGGATGTTTATTTTTAGGTAAGAGATTGAGTTCGTTATGCTATAAATTCTTAGTTGATTTGATGAAATATCCTTGATCACTGCTGTCACCCGTTGTCAAAGATTATAAATTCATCATGATCTTTTTAAGCTGAATCACATGACGATTCATTTAAGTATGAAGACTTAATGAACTATGATAGAGATAACATATAAGTAAATTACACAAATATTACGAGAAATAAATAAAAGAATAATTTTGTTAAAGAAAGTGTTTTATTAAAATATTATAATGTTATAAGTGATTGCACAATCATCAATACTAATTCTTCGCATTACATTACTCCTAGATTAATTACTTCTCCAAATCGCCTTCCTTTTTTAATAATCCCAACTTGTCCTATTTATACATTTTGAATTGATCTAAAATTTACAGATATATTAGATAATTATTACATAAGGATTGCTTTTAACTATCTGATCATTGCACAATTATTACTACATATTTCATTACATAATTACTACATCATGGCTATATAAGAATACTAATTCCTTAACTATAATTTAATATCTTTTCATAATTACTACATTTACTCCTAATTTTTAGATGTGGAATATTGTATCACGTAACACTAATTTCATTGATCAACATTTCAATTATGATTACATTTCCATTATGAGATCATTTTTGCGATTATGATGAATATTAATCATGCTTTTTGTATTATATTTCTGATCATGTGATTTGCTGTGCCTCATTTTCACTTAGGTAATAATATATTACTATATTATGTAAAAATTTGTTTAATTAAATTATTTATATATATATATTTAGAAAATGAAAGCAGATTTCATTTGTAATTATCTTCATAATTCTGGTAAGACTTATGATAAAGCCTGTACTCAATCTAAAGATTGTCGATTGCATTACAAAGCTAAAAAGCGTCAGCCTTTAAAACCAGGATATGGTAAGTCTACTAGATCATCTTGTGATTGTTGTTGTCTTCCTATTATATGATCTAATACATTAATAGACTTTGAAATAAAGCCCTGATGTTTGATATGTATTCAAGAAGTTATACTTTTAGTAAAGGTTAGATTTATTATATGGGAATATTACTAGTAAAATCAAGTTACGAGATATAGTAAATCATATGATCCATAATATGATTTTACTGGCAATGCTCCTATTTGGTTAATCAAGAGGTTAGACTTATTTTGCGGTTAGATTTAACATATAGGTAGTCGAAAAGTTAGACTTTTTTGACCCAAGGTTTGTATAAATAAATAGTTCTAGAATAGTTTCCTGTATATTGATAAATTAATAACATGCTAAAACATAATCATTAAGCTTTTAATTTACAAACTAAATATCAGCTAAGTCTAACAATCTCTTTGAAGTTAGATTTAGCATATAGGTACTAAAAGTTAGACTTAGTGACCTATGAAATCAAATATGAATCAACTTTTAAATTAATTCTAAGATATCATAAAATATGGTATATATTTTAGATTTGTATGATCAGGTCTAGCTTAAATTGTGTTACTTTATTCCTTAATTTTTAATGGCCTTTCAGAGGTAAGTAAAGTAACATAAAAGTTATTATTTATATTGGTTTGCAATATCAGGTTCAGCTCAAATCTCATCACTTCATTCTTTGATTTTTAATGACTCTTCTTGAGGCAAACAGAATAGTATAATTGTTTGATATATTATTTGGGATTAAAATTAGGCTAGAATAGCTATATCAATCAAACAGTGTAATTCTTAGTATCAGATAGACTAATTCTTAGTTAAGTTCGATATCAACATCTAGATTTGAGTCAAATTAAGCTAGAGGTTTGAATTCAATAATTGATTCATATATCTAAAATTGATTCGTAGACAGTCAAAAAACTTATTATGTACATTTGGATTTTTGTTTAAGAACTCCCATTTTTATCGTAATCCTGATCCCTATATAAACAGTATTTTTTTAGGTCCTATTACCATACCATACTATCATAAGAAGTTTCATTCATATAAAAAATGACAATTCAATCACAAATTTTTTTGAAAAAATTTATTTTATTTTAAATTCTTATGTAATTCAATAAACACATTGATACTTTATATTATAGAATCATATTTAGTTGTTATTATTAGATAATTCATCAAATATTATTTCTTATATTTTGCTAATTGCTTACTATGTTTTTAATTGATCTGTCTTTTTTTTTATTCATCAAAAATAAATTCAAGTCATAATAACAATGACTTTGTATAGATTTTTCTTAACCTTTTCTTATCAAAATTGTTAGATTTGTTGTATCCATATTTTTAGCATTTTTATGAAGGTCTTTCCATAAGACATAAATAAGAATAATATCATCTTTTGTTATATTAAGCTGTACTAATGCAATTGTGAAGAATTATGAATTCCTTCTTTCGTCTAAAAATATGGAAGATATTTATCATGAATTTTGGAATTTTTACCTTCTATACAATTCTTAGATTCTTTGGTTGTACTCTGTAGATATGAAAACTTATATTCTATATTAATTGTAATATAAGATTTTATTAATGCATTTCCCTTCAATACATTTTTCTCAAATATCACCATGATATATCCAATTTTATTTGATAAAAGAAGTACAAATACAGCATCTGTTAGGCTTTCATAAGGTTCATCTTTCTCATTAACTATACCTTTATCAGTCAACTTAAATCTTTTGACAATCTTTTCTTGCATCTTTAACTTGATATTTTTCCAACCTTGCTATTGTTTTTCTTGTAATCTATATAAATCTTTAAAACATGTTATTTTTAAATCATTCTTTAAAAGTAATATCAAGATATCACTTCCCAATAGGAATAGAAATGCTCAAATGATAATCTATTATTCACTTTATCAAGTAATTTATCTTCTTCAAATAATAAATATCTTAGATTTTCTGCAAATACAGTATATCATAAATTTTATTATGCTAATATTTAGAATAAAACTTTTAGAATGCAATAGGTAACAAGTTAGGGATTACAATGCCTTTTTCACTTTTGAAGAAATAGTGTTTATATAAATTCCTTTTGAAATGAGAGCTGCAACATTAATTTTTTCATTATTCTCAATTTATAAAACATAATCTAGTAGCCTTAGGATTCCATTTAGTGCTGCTTTAACTTCAGGAAAACTAATTTGAACCCAGATACCAATCTTGTCTATTAATTTTGATAAAATATTAGTATAAGTTCATGTAGTCATACTACCTTGTTTTAAAATGAAATACAATTGCTTAAGTGATCTTGAATGACTATTGCAATCTAAAATACAGCATTTGTTAAGAAAATTCATGTTAAATTTATAAAATAATTTTTTGCCTCAGTAAAACTAATTGCTTGCAATAGCATCCATTCTACTGATCTTCCTAGATTAGAGCTCCGAACAGGTCGGGTCGGGTCGGGTAATTGACTTGACCCGACCTGATAAGGTCAGGTCGGGTCAGA